CTCTGCGCGCGCTTAGCGCGCGTTTGTGATGGGCTAGTTACTATTAAAAAGCAGAGAATTCGTATTTTTGAAACAGTAAATTTGTGTTTCAGAACAGATAATTTGTTTGTAAAGCAGTGAATAATATATATTACAATAAAAAATACTTACAACGCATTCGCAGTCATAGATCATAAAAATGTGACCCCAGCGCGTGCTTGCATTTCGTAACTGCGACAGATTTCTTAACTTGAATAGTTATCAACTAATATTTTGGTTCACAAAGCACAGCAACACTTTTTTTTTGTCAAATCTTTATTTTTACGCGAAAACGTATCGATTCAATGCATTTTTATCAAAATTTGAGGTGAGCGAGCTCTTCTTAATACTTATCATTAATTGTAATGGTGTTATAATATATCCTGGTGATGCGGTACTTTTAACCTCTCAAACTGATGTTGTCAAAATTTATATAAATATATTTGAAACCACTTAAAAATATCAAAAAAAGACATGCACATAGCTTAAGGAAAGGTATTTTAGAGATTAATAAAATGAAAACATGATAAAAAACATTTTATTTGAAAATTTAAAGCAAAAAAGTATAACATCGTAAATTTACACTTACATGATTTATCTGAGTACCATACATATAACTTCTTTTATATACGGCGCACGCGCAATTGATGTGATCATGAGGTAAACGCAGGCCTCGATGTCGACTGTTTTTGTTCTTTATATGATTATCTTGTCTCTTTTTTTGTCATTTATTAGATATATATTGTTACAACTAATCTCCGTTACAACTGTCCCCAGTCTCCCCTAATATAATTTTTAAAAAATAATGATCGAGGTGTGTGACATAAAATAAATAAATTTCCGATTATCTGGCAAAACTTTGGATCCGTGACACATTCGTATCGAGACGCTTGCTTATTTCCTAAATCTAAAATTTTTTTAATGCTTTTATACAAAACGTTTTTGACTTTGTTTTTTAATGTTTTTTTGCATTTTTCAATTTTTTTTTGCCTTTTTTTTTTTTAATTTTATCTGTTCAATTTTTTCAAAAAAGTATGTCATTAAGTTTAACAGACAACTTACTTGTTGTAAATAAGATTTTGGGATTTTATTATTAGTTACAAATAGAACTATAAATAAGATAAATACATCTATTATACATATTGCAATCTTTATTTAAACATTTATTTCCTGATAATTTTACAACATTATCTATTTTGATCTAAAATTCTTATTTTGACAAACGTGTTTAAAATTATACAAAAAATATATATTAAACATATATTAAAAATATAAGAGAGACCAAGGCCTTATTGGCAAGTTTCTATAATTTCTACGTTTGACTTTTTAAACAACTAATTATTATAATATATTTAAACTATACTAAATATGATAAAGAAAATCTTTCTCTGCATTATCATTCTCTGTTAGGAACGATTCTATATAATTTCCTTGTATTAAGTGAAACAAACATACATTGTAACTAGTTTATCTTAATAGTAAGATAAATTGATATATATCACGGTTGTTCATATACGATAATGTCTTTACACTAATAAAAATGTAAGAAAAATAAAAAACTGATTATATTACACATATGTATTTCTTAATACAAATTGTACCTTTTAAAGTTATTTCAATCTTCATCTCTATATACATTCGATTTCAATTATTTTGTTTATCATAACAAATTACTATTATTACTGAAATTAACATACTCATGTCTAGTAACAAAAATTTTTCTTCTATTCAATAATCGTTACTTAGATTTACTCTCTTAAACTAAAGAATATTAATACGAAATTTTGAAATACTCGAAAACTTCTCTTGAATTAGATTTTCTTTTTTTTTTTGTAATAATTATTGTAATAATTATTTGATTTAAATAGAACATAGAGAAAAGTATTTATATTATAAAAGAAATATTTTGCAGTAGAAGCAGTGGAAATTTTTACATTCTTTCATCAAAAATACATAAATAGAATGCCTAACTTGTGCCAATAACTGCGGTCTCTCTCTCTCTCTCTCTCTCTCTCTCTCTCT